TGCCTCTGCCTCTGCCTCTGCCTCTGCCTCTGCCTCTGCCTCTGCCTTCCAAGCGCTGGGATTAAAGGCGTGCGCCACCACGCCCAACCCTAAAGGCAGTTTTCTTAAGGTCAGACTTCAGTACATCTCTTTCTCTCAGCCGTCCCCTGGTACTTTGTACTCGAGAACAAGTGGCACCTGGAGACAACACCTCCATTTCCTACTTCTGCTGCCTGTTTCTGTGGAGGTTTACCGAGTTCCCCCCTCCCAAAGTCTTTTGCAAGGTAAATTTCTAAAAATTGTAGTCCTTCCAAACTGAAAACAATAACTTTAAAAGTCTCAGAAGCACTGCCAAAAACAAAACAACAATAATTAAAAATATGATCCATTAAGCGCAGAATGAAACGTACTGTCAATCAATGTAACTGAAGGCAGGATTTCAAAGTAATATTTACATACTCATTCTCAGCAATATTACACACAGTTAGTAAAAAATTGAAAGTAATCCATAAATAAATAACACATGCTATTTACACACAATGGGATATTATTCACCTTTAAAATACAAAAAAAAAAATCCTATTAGTCAGTAGATCAAGTGAAATAAGACAATCACAAAACAGAAACTGCATGGGCCCACCTATATGGAGTATCTAACAGTCAAATTCAGAGAAACAAAATGGTGATCTTGAAGTAGGGGAAATGAGAATTTAGTGTTCAGTAAGCATGGAGTTTTTAGTTTTGCAACACACAAAAAAAAATTGCTGGAGATCTTTTATAGAAAAACATGAATGCATGTAACATACTACAATTTTATGTTATTTGTCTTTTACCACAAGTCAGAGTTCCTAGACCTGATAGCGTTTCCTAAGTGCAACCTTTCAAAACTTTTTAGAGACACAGCCATCTCTGTCTCCCACGGCCTCCTTAACCCTTGGCCTTCTGGCTTCAGTTACCTCACAGCAGTTCTAGCCTTATGCACAGGGTACTGGACTTTGTTTACCACTTATTTCTAAGAGTTTTCCGATCCTTTGGCTTCTATGAGACTCTGCTTTATATTTTGCTGATGTCTGACAACTCTTTTTGTTTAGTCTTTTTGTTTCCTTGCCTTTTCATACATGATTATATGTCCCTGTACTCTCCCTCTCTTTGTGCCTTTACAGTCTTATCATTTTCCTTGTGAAAAGCACAATTAAACAATACCTGATATTAAATTAATAACCCTGCTCAGTCTCTCTCTCTGCCTTGTTGACTCCACATGAGTCCAATAAGCTATTCCAACTCAGCTCCTCCAATGACACACATATTTCCTCCTGTGTCTTCTAGCTCAGTAAATATCTCTCTCCACTTTTTCTTCTAAAGCTTGTGGTTCATGTTAGGATCTCAATTCTTTTTTTCTCCATATAAAATTGGTCTACAGGGCATTATTCATTCTCAAACTTATCTCAATTGTCAGTGTTTTCTTCTCCATCACCTACCACATTCAAGCTGGTCTGTTTCTAGCTTTGTCTTCAAGTTATAACCTTTCACATCTTTTTATTGTTTGGGGAGTCTCTTGAACTCTCCTGAGCAACTACTTGAAGGTAGGTGTCCCATACCTGACACAGAAAATTTTTTTTAGGTAGTCAGTCTATGGTTTTGGGAGGAGCATTATTACAACATATGTTGTGTTGGGAATGAGCAAAAGAAACTTATTCTAAGTACTACCATTTTGTTTTCAGACTCCATTTAATCATAGCAAGAAAGGTCCCAAGCCTTAGGGGAACTGGGGACTTCCCAATAGTTGAATAGCTTCTGTTGTAATAAAACAGTTGTCTGAGTCCAGACATATCAGGGACAACTTCTCCATCTTGCTGGCAAGGTCAAACAAATTCATATTTCTATCCTGACTGATAGATCCTTTGCTCAACTGATTGGACAATCCTACAGCCCACCCTGCTCCCCCTTGCTCTATGGTTTTCATCCTTTAAATATGCAATAGAGCTTCCCCTCTCCAATGCAGTTCATATTCTAAGCTGTCTCGCTGTAAGAACAGAAAATAAAACTTGACTTTTTAAGATTCCATCTCTGAAGTGAGATTTTTTGGCATCCTCCCCGAACTCAACAGTTGTAACTTCATTTACATTGCCATCTAAATTACACAAACACACACACACACACAGAGAGAGAGAGAGAGACAGAGATTATCTATGTATTTTAAGTAAACACAAAATAATGCTTCTCTATGTCTTTTCCAATTATTTTAGTGCTATTTTTCCCCTTTTCCCCCTATCCCTCTGGATTGCCCTCCTTCCTGCCAAATAAAGCACCTTCATTTTTTTTTTTAAATTCCCTGCTTTCTATAGCTCCTTCTACCCCTGCCCTACGGTCACCCTTTACTTTCCTGGTTTCTGTGCTAACTTCAGGATATATAATCACATCTTAAGATTCAGGGCTAGAATCTACAAATCAGAGAGAATGTGCAGCATTTGTCTTTCTGGGTCTGGGTTACCACTGTATAATATTTTCTAGTTTCATAGTTTCATTTACCTGCAAATTTCATGATCTCATTTTTTCTTACACCTGACATAGAATACCATTGTGTATATGTACTACATTTTCAGTATCCTTTCAGCAATTGAAGGACATTTAGTTTTTTTCCAGTTTCTGGCTATTATGAACAGAACAGTAATGAAGATGGTTGAGCAAGTATCTGTAAAACAAAACATTGAGGTTTTGTTTTTATTTATGTCAAGGAATAGTATAGCTACATAATTTGGTAAGATTTCAGTACTACATTAACAACAACAATGCACATTAATAGCACAAAACAGACCAGTAAATCAACAGAATAAAATAGAAGTACAAACATGAATGCATGCAGCCACCTGATCCTTAACAAAGAAGCCAAAAATACACACTGGAGAATAGAGAGCATCTTCAATGACTGGTGCTATGAAAACTGGATGTCCACATGTAGAAGACTGAAATCCACATGCACTACCCTGAATTAAAATCAACTTGAAATGGAACAAAGAGCTTAATGTAAAACATGAAATGCTGAAACTGCTAGAAGAACACACAGGTGGCACCCTACAAGATATAGGTGGAACAAGAGACTTTCTGAAGGGGACTCAATTCATTTAATAATTAAGGCAAACAATTAACAAAGAAGACCTCATAAAACTAAAATACTTGTGTACAGAAAGGGGAAAAATAAGCTACTGAAGAAGAACCCCCGAGTGGGAGAGAATCTTTGACAACTGTTTCTTTAATAAAATACCTAGAATAGAGGAAGAACAAAAATCAAGAAAACCAATGATCCAGTTAAAAAGGGTAGATGGAAGGGCAATTATGGATTTGAATAGAGAATTCTCAAAAGAAGAGATGAAAACTGGGTAAGAATTATTTTTAAAGATGTTCATCATCTTTAGCAATTATGGAAAAGCCAATTAAAACAACTTTAAGGTTCATGTACCCCAATCACAATGTCTAAAATCAAGAAAATAACTGACAATAAATTTTGGTGAGGACATGGGAATTGGAACTCTTGTTCAATGATGGTGAGATTCCAAACTCATGCAGCCACCGTGGAAATGGGTGAAGAAGTCTCAAAACCCAAATCCAAAAAAACGTGATTAAAAAAAAAAAAAACACAACAAAAAAATCCTCTCATCTCTTTAAAAATCAACACACGAAGGTCCTGACTACACTTTGTTCCAGCCAGATTGTTCTTTGTAAGGTCTTACGATGCTTTTTCAGTAGTACCTTTCTCCACAGTGTTCCCTCCACCTTAAATCTTTCTGATTGGCTTGGCTAAGTGCCCTTCATGACCCAGCTCAGGCATGCTTCCACAGTATATGATGCTGCTTACCTCGTTGTTACCTCCCTCTAGCTAGTTCTTCCAAAGCAAGTAGCAAATTCTTCTCCTTCATGCCAAATTCCACCGTCTCGCCTCTAGTGCTATAGGCCGTTTACTGCGTGTGAGTGTGTGTGTATTTGAGTGCATGTGTGAAGGAATGGCAAAGTGAACTGGGAACAGGGCACACAGGGCACTTAAAAACAGCATCACTTTAAAAAATTCTTTTCATACAACACATCGCCGTTGACTTACTGGGTAGTCTATCACCTTGGCTAGAGTTATAGCGTTTCTGAGAAACACGCCACCTTGGCAAAGCCTGAGTGGCCTGGATGAGGCGGAGCCATTGACTTAATGACTTACTGCGTTTTCTTTCACCTAGGTTAGAGGAGTAGCGTTGCTAAGTAACCACATGCGACTTTGGGCACTTCTTGGCCCGGATGAGGCGGAGCCACGGCTTCCTCTGGAAAGGGAGGTCACGCGCAAGCGTAGACTGAGAAAACGGGCTCTATGTAATAGTGTCTTTTAACTTTTAAAGCAGGAAGCGCAACAAGCCACTTCCGGGGAGGGAAAGCCGCTCTCACCTGTGTGCAATATGGATGCTGCCAGCGAAACCGAAGAGCTGGTAAGATATGCTCTGGGGTTGGGCAAACACTCAAGTGGAGATTGGGTGATGAGCAGCTTATTGAGTTAGGGGTCGTTCACCCAGCCCTGCTTTTTCTTTTCCTTCTCAGGTTTCTGGGGAAGTGTTGTCCATCGCCCATGCGCTTTCTCTCCCCGCCGAGTCATATGGCAATGACGTGAGTATGACTCACCTACACTGCTCATCCAGCTATCCCAGGACGTCCGAAACCCCCACCCCAAAAATTATAAGTCCCCTTCCTATTCTTCAGACTTCCCCATGCCAAAAATTGTACCTTCTTTCAATTGCAGTTGGTATAGTACTGTAATACCGGCGAATGTGAGGCCCTAACTTTTCTATGATTTAGAAACACCTGGAAAGTGTCTAAACACCCCCCCACCCTGTCCAGATTACAGCCCATATCAGATCAAATTAGAATGTGGGGGAAGAGGAGCCAAAACTTGGAAGTTTTTAAAGGGCCCTGAATGATCCCATTGTTCAATAAATTTGTGCCTGCTCGTGGTGTGCTTTGGTTTTAACCTTTATACATAATGTATTTTGAGGAAAAAAATGGCAGGAATAGCAATCAGAATGTAATGTGTACTAGATGAATGGCTCAGGCAACAGGATGGAAAGGGTTTAGCAAGAGAGATTTCTAAAGATGGAGGCAGTAGATCTCATTGGGGAAGTGTAGCTTGAACTGGATCCTCAAAGTCTTAAGTGGTCAGAAGATAGGGATTCAAAGGCAGGAACATTTCTTGGCCTATTGTGGGTAAATGCATATGCAGATAGATTCTTCTGGCCTTAGAAAGAGACAACACATGGGTTGGAAAAGCAGAGTCCAGTGGAACAGCTAGTGGGCACTTGGGTCAGATTTATTTATGTATAGTCCAGCTGCATCATTTGTCCTGGAGTTTTACAAAAATGGTGAATTTAACATGCTGCACTCATGAAAGTGAAAAATAGTTTAACATGTATTTCTGTCCTCCCAACAACTCAGAGGTTTGTAGGTGGGTATATGAATATGTAACTTAGGTTATATACTATATAGTAATAATGAATGCATTTATTTTATGGAATGTAATAATTAAGTCAGTCCTGATTTTCCACACTTTTACTAACTGCTGGAAAAGGATGTCCAGTAGTTCATTGCTTTTATTATTCTGTGTTGACACAGAATATTATTAATGAGATTATTAATAATAGTAATATTATTCTTTTGGTCATTGTAAGGACAAAAGGTTTATATTTCCAAATCTATTAGTTCAGCTTTTATCTCTGACACAACATCATTTTCTGCAAACCTCTTAAGATTTAGCAAGATGTCTTTAATTTGTCATCCATAACAAGGCTAAAAGATTTCTGACTCAATATTCTTCCTCTTTTGCAGCCTGATATTGAAATGGCTTGGGCCATTCGAGCAATGCAGCATGCTGAAGTCTATTACAAAGTAAGTTTTTTCATCATTAAGTTGAAGTTAATGTGTAATCTTAGTGTGTATGATGCTATATTAATTACAGTTCTCAACAACTTAAACTGTTAAGCTTTGCAGATTGTTTTAACTACCAAAAAAATCTTACCTCTGGGGAACATGGGTATAAGTAAATTTGATGATGAGGAGTGCTGCTTGTCTGTCTGGCCCCTGTTGTTTGCTACCTAGAGGAAAGATCCCTGGCCCATGTGGAGCAGACACTTAAATGTCTGTCAAATGAATGAACAATCCCCAGAACGAGAGCCAAGCAATACTAGGACTAAAGGACTCATTCACTTGCCATATTGGTAAAAGGAGGGGGGGGGAGCTTTTATTATGGCTCTTAAAACCATTTTAATGATTTCATGCAAGACCTGGGCTGTTAATACTGCCTACGGTAATCTTCTGTCCTGAGACTTATAAGCTATTCGGATGGTGTGACACTGCAGGGTAGAAGTATAAATTAGTGACTAACATCTTTATGTTTGTTTTGCTGTCTGGAAGCTGATATCATCAGTTGACCCACAGTTCCTGAAACTCACCAAAGTAGATGACCAGATCTACTCTGAGTTCCGTGAAAATTTCGAGAAGCTCAGGGTAGATGTATTAGACCCAGAAGAACTCAAATCAGAATCAGCTAAAGAGGTGAGTATCCTCTTTAGCTTATCTAACATCTGGCCAATAATTTTGATTGTGTGTGTTTTATATAAGCCTCAGATTTGTTCAGGGAACCTGGATTTTATAATAAGTCAACTGTACAATGAATTATATTCCGTCGTGTGTATTTTTTGTATTTATTGAGACCTTCCCCTGCTCCTTATCTTGGGCATTTCAAATACTCACTTAGATATTCCTTTAAGGGGAAGAGGGATGAGTTTAGTTTAGCAGGAAATTTAGCTTAGCTAGAAGGATTGGATGATGGAATAATTAATAGGGTACAGGGAATATAGGGAGGTATTTTGATTCTCTGGATTTTTATTCAATTGATCATAGGTCCTGAGTAGCATACAAAGATGTTTCTTGTTTATGTGATCATCTCTCATGCTGACCCAGAGCACTGGTATTATTATTATTTTGGTTTTTTTGTTTTGAGACAGGGTTTCTCTGTGTAGCCTTGGCTGTCCTAGACTCGCTTTGTAGATGGCTAGCCTCAAACTCACAGAGATCCACCTGCCTATGCCTCTCTAAGTTCTGGGATTCCAGGCATGTGCCACCATGCCCAGCTGTAGCGCACTGTTATTATAAAGGGAAAAATATTTTCCTTAAAAGTAGGCTTTTGGCTAATGAAGAATTTAAATTTTGAAGTCCCACAAGGCTGTCACCAATCTTTGAGAACTTGCCCCTACTCGGTGGACATGTATATTATATCCCTGCCCTCTTTGTCATGTGGGTACTCTAGTAAGGATGAATAACCATTTTGGCTTGAGCTGGCTGATAAAGAACTCATGACAAAACATAGATCCATTTTAGAAATCACATTTTAATTTTGCAGTAAAAAGATTGAGGTGGTTGGGTTTTTTTTTTTGTTTGTTTGTTTGTTTGTTTGTTTGTTTTTCCTGATCAAAATGTTGTGTATGGGGATACCAGTATAAAAACATAACATACAGCACAGAAATGTGGTACAGTTTTCACTATAAAGCTGGCAATGAGCTAAATATTTGTTTCTTTCACCCTGGCTTGGATACTCACTGGGGAAGCTCAAACCTCTTACCTGGCTCGAATACATTAGACTCTTGGAGACATCAGCTACACTGATACTTTTTGCTTTATAGAAGTGGAGGCCATTCTGCTTAAAGTTTGAAGGGATCATAGAAGACTACAACTATGGTACTTTGTTGCGACTGGATTGTTCCCAGGGGTACACTGAGGAAAACACCATCTTTGGTAAGTTTGTTTCTGTAAGGGTATCTGAATGAGGAGTCTGGGTTCACTGACAAAGATAGTTAGCTTGGAGGTCATTATATTTTTTGTATCATTCAAGGTCATGTTCTTTAAACTGTCAGAAAGGTAGGAATTTTCATTAACAGACTAGAATTCAAGATTTCTAGATTATATATTTGAATGGCTTTCGTGTTAGTTAGTATTTGCCTGTGGCCTATCCAAGACCAGGACAATCAATTCTCTTTACCTTTCAGCACCCAGGATTCAATTTTTTGCAATTGAAATTGCTCGGAACCGGGAAGGCTATAACAAACCAGTTTCCATCAGTGTTCAGGACAAAGATGGAGAGAAAAGAGCTGACACTAAAGAAGAGGAAGCTGAGAAAGGAGCTGATAGTGGAGGAGAAAAAGAGGAAGGAGTCAACAGAGAAGGAGAAAAGTAGAAAACTAACCAGGGAGGAGTAAAAGAAAGCCAAGAAACATGGCTCAGCTGAACCCACAAATATCAGATGCTATGGGCATGGACACCTTTGATTAAACGATTGCCCTTGCACAAATGGAAGACTCAGAAGGACATCTTTCTAGCTAGTAAGAGAAGCTGCTCTGGGCATAATGGCCGTAAACACAATAGTGGAGTCTCTTAGATAATTGCCTGATACCATGTTGCTTGTTACCCTGTAATTGCTGAAGTACAACATTTTGTAAATAAATTCTTTTGGTTTGTATTAGTTATAACTGACTTTAGAAAGTATTTACATTTATTTGACCCTTTAAAACATTTCGTATATATAATATAATCACTGTATCTCATATATAAAACTATTTGTTACTTTTTCTCACTGTTCTCAGTAATGAAGTTCTCAACCTGTTAGCTTGGTACCTGACACCAGGATTAGAAGTTCTTATATAAAAATTGACTCTTAGCCAAACCTAGTACATCATACCTGGGAGGCTGAGGTAAGAGAATTGCATGCCTTTGAGGCCAGCTTGAGCTATAGAGTAAGACTGCCTCAAAAATAAATTGTTTAAAAAGAACTGGCTTTTGCCTTTGTGATGACTATAACTCTCTGGTTTCCTTTGCAGTGTTTGTGAGGGTACAGCAGCCTGAACTGTCAGCATAAAGATTGCAGCCTAGTTTAATAGAGAACTTTTAGAGAGTCTTTGTCAGTTGTTGTTGTTTTTTTTTTTTTTTTTTTTTTTTAAGACACTGTCACCTTATAGACTATTCTGACCTGGTACTCACTATATAGGTAAGGCTAGCTTCATACTCAGAATCCTGCCTTGTTCATCCTTTGATAGGTAGGTTGTTATCTGAAACTTAGCCATAATAATAAACACTAATTAACATAGTAACTGTATATATTTATATTTGAAACATAACAGACATTTGTTGATTTGATATGAGAGGGAAGAGGTTTTTTTTTTCCTCAAGTGAAGCTATTCAAAGGGAACTCTTCAGTTATCTACACTGGTATATGAAGAAGGTTCATGTATCCCTACAGACATACTGAGTTTGATCACTGAAAATGAAAGGAAACCATGACGCTTGTTATACATACAGATAGTGCTTTCTCAAGTTGAACCATAGCATTCTTGTATAAGAAAGGATTTATTGCCAGATGGTGGTGACACACACCTTTCATACCAGCACTTGGAAGGCAGAGGCAGGTGAATATCTAAGTTCCAGGGCAGCCTGGTCTACAGAGTGAGTTTCAGGACAGCCAGGGCTACACAGTAAAACCCTGTCTCAAAACAAAATTCTATTTAAAGATAAATACATTGAATACTAGGAAAATATCATTTCAATGCTTTTTATTATTAGCAAATTCTTAAGACTATTTCAAACATTTATTAAAATTTTCCTTTTATGAAAATGTTAGTTTTGAAAGAGGAGAATATCTCATATCATATTATCGGGCTGTTAAGAAAAATCTATACTGTATAAATTTTTTCTAGGTATAGTTGTTTACAGTTGTATGTCCATATACAGTGGCTTAGAAGTTGATGGATTTCTGAATGTGAGATCAAGTAGGTCTCTGTTTCTTGTGCCTTCTATTGGGCTCTTTTCCTTTTTTGTCTTGTTCAGTCTCAGTGCGTTCGTTTTTATTTAATCCTATTATGTTTTATTTTTATTATGCCTTACAGGCCTGTTTGTTTTCTAATGAGAGACAGTAAAGTAGTGGATCCATATGGGAGGGGAGGAGAGAAGGAGTAGAGAGATGGGAAACCATAATCGGGATATGTTATGTGAGGGGAAAATCTATCTTGAATAAAAGGAAAAAAATGCCTCTCTCCAGGTTTTTCACTGGCTGGACAACAACTAGCTTAATGACTGTTCACCTGTACAGAGGATAAGAAACATGAAAATCAGAGTGCTTAAAGCAAGAGGTATCTCTCAAGATGCAGATGGCAAGAAATGAAAAGGAAGAATAATGATAGAATATGCAGATGGACTGTATGACACCACCTTCCAGATTAGAGGGGACAGAGAAGACAGAATGGTTCTCTGATGCTCTAAATGAATCATAATCAAAGGAAACGTTATCTTGGGTAGGCTCTCCCTAATAGTTGTGTTCTTAAAAGGGACAAGCAAAAGCAGCAGGTGTCCTGTTGTAGAAACAAATAGCCATGTTTTGAAATGGTCATCCAGAACACTAAAGGTGTCATTTTTCTCTGGCTGACAGCTCTCAAGAAAATGGGTGGGGGTTTCGCTTGGTTAGTTCTGCATACTGGTGAACTGGAAGAATTGATTGGCAGTATGATTTGGGCCCTGGAAGCCTCAGAGCAGAGGATCTATTAAGCTGTTCCTACATTCCTCACTTTTAGACACTAAGTGGGTATTGTCTCAAGCCCCAAACCATGGTAATTGGATATAGAGTGTTAGAAAATTGCAGGCATTCCAAGCAGAAGGGAAATGCTAGAGTTCACCAATACCTAAAATTTGGGAGTTGGATTTAAAATCTGACAGTTGGTAGAAGCTGAAGAATTTTGAAGAACATTGTAGAAAAAAAATAACTAAATTGTTTTTAACAGACTGTTAATAGGAATATGGACTTTTTGGTCTTTTGTGCCTAGGTGTTTTTTTTTTTTTTTTTTTTTTTTTTTCCACTTTGATACAGGATATCTGTATAGTCCTGGAACTTGATATGTAGACCAGGCTGGCCTCAAACTCTGAAATCCTCCTGCTTCTGCCTTCTAAGTGCTAGGATTAAAGGCACACACCACCAGGCCCAGGCTAGGAATATGGATTTAAAGGGAGCTGCTACAAAATGCTCATAAGGAAGTGGAGGAGTATGTTACTGGAAACTGGAGGCAAAAGGATTCTTTATTGAACTTAGAACCAGGAAACTTGAGATTTTGAGCCCTCAACTATTTGAGCTAGGCTTAATATAGAAACTTATAATTTATTCAAAATAGTGCAGTATTCTAGTTATTTATCTCAGTATCTTTTTAGAGGCAGGGAAAAGACAGTAATTATTTCTACTTACAAGAGGACACTTATGTTTAAGCCAATGATTGTATAATACTTTGTCATAGCAACGTAGAAAACGACTAAAGCATGCTGAAGCCTACTGTCAAAGTAGAGGCTTTCACTGCACTGCCATTGTTTATTTTGAAACTATAGTTTAAACATATGGATACCATTTACCAGAGGATTAGAAATAAAAACAGCATTCAAAATGACAGAATCATTTTGAACCTACAATATAAAGGAAGTCCTATACTCATTAATGGGAAATATGCCAATATGTTTGAAATCAGCATGTTTTCATTTATATCACTCAACAGTAATGGTTGTGTGTGTGTGTGTGTGTGTGTGTGTGTGTGAGTGTGTGTGTGTGTGTGTGTGTGTATGCATTCAAGCACATGTCTGTACTTATGTGTGGAAGCCAGAGGTCGATGTTCAGTGTCTTCCTCAATTCAACTCTACCTATTTTATTAAGATTTATTTATTTTATGATGAATACAGTGTTCTGCCTGCATATTAGAAGAGGGCACCAGATCCTATAGTAGATGGTTGTGAGTCACCATGTGGTTGCTGGGAATTGAACTCAGCTCCTCTGGAAGAGCATCCAGAGCCATCTCTCCAGCCCCCGCCTTATTTTTTGAGATAGAGTTTCTTACTGAACCTGGAGATGCTGATTATGCTACATAGCTTGGCAGCATACCCCAGACATCCTCCTGTCTTTGCCTTTCCTTTTTACCATGGTTGCTGGGAATTGAACTCAGGTCCTCTAGAAGAGCAACCAGTGCTCTTAACCTCTGAGCCATCTCTCCAGCCCCTACCTTATTTTTTGAGATAGACTTTCTCACTGAACCTGGAGCTTGCTGATTTTGCTTGATGGCTAGCCAGCATGCCCCCAGACATCCTCCTGTCATTGCCTTTCCTTTTTACCTGGGTGCTGGGGATTGAACTCAGATCTTCATGTTTGCCTGGCAAACACTTGACCAATTGAGCCCTCTCTGCAACACTCCGCAGTCAGAGTAACTTCACTTGTAAAGACTTTTCTTTGGTACAGTGTTTTATGGTTGATGTAGTTTAGAATTTCTAGAGCATGGTGGCAATTTAAGCAGACCAGGGCTTTATTAGTTTTCATGATGGTCCTGGCACTGGCTTCATAAGAACAAGCCCAGAACCTGAATTCTCTGGAGTTGAACAAGCCTGGAACTTGAGTTTGTGGTGGCAAGTCTGAAGCACTCTTAGCTGGAGCCTGGGTCTATGGAGGCCAGAGACTACTGGAGTAGCCTGGACCATGCCAGTACATATACTGGAGTTTGGGTCCAGCCTAGCCAGGGTAGGGGCTAAAGCTAAGTCCTTAAGAGACAGATTGGAATCTGGATTGTCAATGCCAGCCTAACATGTCAGCTATAGAGACTGGGTCTTTTTTAATTTATTTATTTTTATTAATTACAGTTCATTTCACTTTGTATGCCAGCTGTAGCCCCCTCCCTCATCCCTTCCCAATCCCACCCTCCCTCACTCATCTTCTCCCATGCCTCTCCTAAAATCACTGATAAGGGAGGCCCTCCTCCCCTTCCATCTGACCCTAGCCTATCAGGTCTCATCAGGACTGGCTGCATTGTCTTCCTCTGTGGCCTGGTAAGGCTGCTTCCCCCTCAGGGGAAGGTGATCAAAGAGGCAGTCACTGAGTTCATGTCAGAGACAGTCCCTGTTCCCACTACTAGGTAACCCATTTGGACACTGAGCTTCCATGGGCTAGATTTGTGCAGGGGTTCTAGGTTATCTCCATGCATGGTCCTTGGTTGGAGTATCAGTCTCAGAAAAGACCCCTGGGCCCAGATTTTTAGGTTCTGTTGTTTTCCTTGTGGAGCTCCTGTCCTCTCCAGGTCTTTCTATCTCCCCCTTCTTTCATAAGATTCCCTGCACTCTGCTGAAAGTTTGGCTATCAATCTCAGCATCTGCTTTGATACCCTGCTGGGTCTATAAAGTCTTTCAGAGGCCCTCTCTGGTAGGCTTCTGTTCTGTTTCCTGTTTTCTCCCTCTTCCAATGTCCATCCCATTTGCCTTTCTGAGTGAGGACTGATCATCTTACCCAGGGTCCTCCTTCTTGCTTAGCTTCTTTAAGTGTACAGATTTTATATGTTTATCCTATATTATATTTCTAATATCCACTTATAAGTGAGTATATACCATGTGTGTCTTTCCACCTCTGGGATACCTCACTCAGGATGATATTTTCTAGATCCCACCATTTGCCTACAAATTTCATGACTTCC